ACTCGCAACGATCCTCCTGCCTCAGCCTCCGGAGTGCTGGGATGACAGGTGTGCGCCACCACGCCCGGCTCACCTGTGTGTCTAACCATGCAGCATGCACCGTCCACCCACCCGGAGAAGCTCCCGCGCCCCCGCTGGAGCGCCGGCCCTGGGACATCCCGATGTGGCACCAGGGGCCACCCCACCGCACCGCGACCAGTGTGTCCTGCAAGACGCAGGCGCAGCCCTGCAGGCACTGACCCAGGCCGGCCCGCAGCTGGGCAGCGCGGACCAGCCTCGTCCGGATGGATGTCGCGGGCTCAGCCGGCCGGCCCGCCCACGGGAGGCTCGGGGCACGGTGACGGCACTGCCCAGGCCCGTCCAGCCCGCTCAGGTCTGCCGACAGCACAGCGCAGCCCCGCGCCCAGAAGCCACAGGAATCCCGGCCTCCCCGCGGCTCCCAGGGCGAGGCCGGACGCCGCTGGACCTTCCCAGACAGAGCCGACAGAGCAGCGGGGCCGCCCAGCCCCGGGCGGGAGACGGCAGGCAGCTCAGGCCGCTCCGCCGCAGCTGGTGCTGCGCAAGGTCAGGGCCGGCCTCAAGGGCACGGCTGTGGGGCCGCGGACAAGGGGAGTCCGGGAGCCTGGGTTCCGCCTGGCCGGCCAGCAGGGCTTTCGGTTCTGTAGGTGCCTGGCGCTGCAGCAGGGACCGAAGCGCTCAGGAGACAGAGAGGGTGAGAGCAAGGAGACAGAGGAGCCGGGCGAGGTGGCGCACGCCTGTCATCCCAGCACTGGGGAGGCTGAGGCAGGAGGATCTCTGCGAGTCTGAGGCCAGCCTGGGCTACAAAGTGAGCTCAAGGCCAGGCTGAACTGCATAGCGAGACCCTGTCTCAAAAAGAACAAAAAAAAAAAAAAAGAGGAAAAAGGAAAGAAGCCCGGGTGGGGAGGCGCGGGTGTAAGCCCAGCACTGCAGCGAAAAAATAATAATAATAATAATACAGAAGACAAAGAAGAGGGAAAGAAGGACAGGAAAGAAAAAGGGAAGAGAGAGCGCGAGGCGAAGAGCAAAAACAGAGGTGGGAGTGTTGGTGCCAGGCTGTCATCCCGGCACCCTGGGAGGCTGAGGCAGGAGGGTCTCTAAATAGAACACACCAAAGTGAACTAAAAGTAACGGGAAGCGGAGGCTGCAAAAGCCCAGGTCGATGGAGAGGGAGAGGCCGAGTCAGGAGGGTATACTGCGCCCCATCTCAGGTGTCCTGCTACAGGGGTGCTAAGCCAGGGGTCAAAGGTCACGGAGCAATGGGGAGTCCCCTCTCCCCGCAGAAGTGCGGCCCGCAGCCCAGGAGACCCCGGTGGGGGCCCGGAAGAGGCCGGAGAGCGCAGAGCCGGGCGCGGGCGGGTCGGGCATTATGGGGTGCCGGGGTCAAAGGTCAGGACCCCACGTGGGGTTCCGGGAACTGGGGCGCGCGGCCTCCGGAAACGGGGCGCTCTCAGGGTCGCCGACGGCTGCGGCTGGGGCTCGGGCTCCCCACTGCGCGCCCCGACACCGCGCCGCGCGCTCCCTTCGCCCCGCAACCTTCTCAAGGTCACGGCCGCCGCCG